CATGTGGGGCAAAATCAAGAATAATTTACAAATGATTGGAATTCTAGAAAAGGAGGAGACCAAAAAAAAAAAAAAAAACTCACTGCCATCAAGTCGATTTCGACTCATAGCGACCCCCTTTGGGTTTCCAAGGGGAAAAAGGGAAAAAAAAAAAAAAAAAAAACCTCAGACCTCAGAGAAAACTGTAAAAAACTTGCTAGCGAGAAATTTCCCTACTATCATGAAAGATAAAAAGATATTCATCAAAGAAGATCAACAAACTACATACAGGTTAGAAACAAAGGAGAATCACCAAGACATATCTCTGGGGTAGTAATTTAGCTGGTATGGCTTTTTAAGCCATAATCTTTGTAACTCCCACTTTGCTGTGAGCATCTGAGTAACTGATTGTCAAAGCTATCCACCTGATGTATTTCTATTGAACCAGCATGAAGCAATCTTCTGGGAAGTTCGCTCTCTCTCAGGTGTATAGAATTCTGATGTTGAGATTAGTTAGTTTGGCCATTCTTCTAAGCTAGAAAGGAGCCCTCCTAGAGGCAGAGGCAGTCTCTCTGACTGCTGAGTGAGAAAGATGTGATGCTGAGATAAACATGCTTATGAGAGACGTGAGAGAGACATGCTGCTGAGAAAGAGACATGAGAGATACACACGGCAGAGAGAGATATATGCTACTAAGAGAAACTGAGAGAGATTGTTGGCTAAGAGAAGGCCAGCTGAGAGAGACTGAACACGTTCCTGAATTTGAATTGTAGCCTGTTGCTTTCCATATAAACCCAATAATCTGTGAATTCTGTGTGGCCACTGCAAAGAATTGTCGAGCCCAGCAGAGAGGTAGTGAGTACCATGGGACAGATGGTTGGTGTCAGGAATGGTAAAAGAGCTGCAGGGAGGCAGCATGTCTGGCCTCAGAGGAATAAGCCTTGGGCTCCTGATAGTGATTCTGTCCTCCTTTTGTGGGGTTAAGGGAGGTCAGGAGATGCTGCCTCTTGCCCCTTTGGTAATATCATAATCCAACTTTCCAAAATCAAACACAAAGAAAGAATCTTGAGAGCAGCTTGGGGAAAACAAAATGTTATCTACAAAGGGCAACCAATAAGATTAAACTCTGATTTATCAGTAGAAACCGTGCAGGCAAGAAGGCAATGGGATGACATTTATAAAATTTTGAAAGAAAAAAATTGCTAACTAAGAATTATATCTAATAAAACTGTCCATCAAATAAGATGAAAATTAGGACATTTCCAGACAAACAAAAATTAAGAAACTATGTTAAAAACAGACCAACCTTGTAAAAAGTGCTAAAGGGAGTCTTTTGATCAACATTGGAAGACAACACATACAATTAAGGCACATGACAATATCACCCAGAAACCAACCCAGAAAAACAATTTTTAAAATTAACATACACTTACTAGACTGAATGATGCAGGAAGCATCAAAAGAAGATGGGAGGAATACACAGAGTCACTGTACCAAAAAGAACTGGTCGATCTTCATCCATTTTGGAAGGGGGCATATGTTCAAGAACCAGTGGTATTGAAGGAAGAAGTCAAAGCTGCATTGAAGGAATTGGCAAAGAACAAGGCTCCAGGAATTGATGGAACATCCATTGAGATGTTTCAACAAACAGTTGCCCTGCTGGAGGCACTCACTCAGTTATGCCAAGAGATATGGAAGACAACTACCTGGCCAACTGACTGGAAGAGATCCATATTTGTACCCATTCCAAAGAAAGATAATCCCACAGAGTGTGGAAATTACTAAACAATATCATTAATATTGCATGCAAGTAAAATCTTACTGAAGATAATTCAAAAAGGGTTGCAGCAGTATGTTAACAGAGAACTTCTGAGCTGGATTCAGAAGAGGATGTGGAAGGAGTGATATCATTTTTGATGTCAGATAGATCTTGGCTCAAAGCAAAGAATACCAGAAATATGTTTACTTGTGTTTTAATGACTATGTAAAAGTATTGGATTGTGTGGATCATAGAAAATTGTGGATAACATTAAGAAGAATGGGAATTCCAGAACACTTCATTGTACTCATGAGGAACCTGTACATAGACCAGGAGGCTGGCATTCAAACAGAATAAGGGGAGATTGCATGGTTTAAAATCAATAAGGGAGTGCATCAGGGTTGTATCCTTTCACCATACTTAATCAATCTATGTTGTTGTTTTTGTTGTTGTTGTTGTTGTTATGTGCCGTC